TCTTCTGAGTTAAATTCGCCCATTCCTGTCCACTTTAGTTCACTGATTCCTAGGATATCGATGTTCAGTCTTGCCATCTCATTTTTGACCACGTCAAGCTTACCTTGATTCATAGATCTTACATTCCAGGTTCCTATGCAGTATTGTTCTTTGCAGCATCGGACTTTCCTTTCACCATCAGACACATCCACAACTGAGCGTCCTTTCGGCTTTGGCCCAGCCGCTTCACTCTTTCTGGGGTTACTTGTACTTGTCCTCTGCTCTTCCTCAGTAGCATATTGGACACCTTCCGACCTGAGGGGCTCATCTTCCGGCGTCATATCTTTTAGCCTTTTGATACTGTCCATGGGGTTTTCTTGGCAAAAATACTGGAGTGGGTTGCCATTTCCTTCTCCAGGTGGATCACGCTTGGTCTGAGTTCTCTGCTGTGGCCTGTCCGTCTTGGGTGGCCCTTCACGGCATAGCCCACAGCTTCATTGAACTGCGCAAGCCCCCTCGCCACGACAAGGCAGTGATCCATGAGGGGCCACAAGTGATGGGCCACTACATAAAAGTGCCTAACATCTGGTGACACTCTGGACAAAACTCTATGGTAGAATTTTGCTTTCCCATAATTCAAAGCTAACCTGTTGTTGTTACAGTAGGTCAAGCATTGGTGTAAAAGACGCCTCAGTCCGATTCGAGAACATGAGAGTAAAACGGCGTCATCTGCATATAAAAGAACTGGGATATGGCGTTGGCCAATTTTGGGAACATGTCCATCGATTTCTAACAATGATGGAGCCAGGCCGTTTAGAAACAAATCAAAAAGTGAAGGGGCAAGGATGCAACCCTGTTTTACACCTTTGCGAATAGGGATTTTGGGGGTTAGGTTTCCCTGCAGATTGAATTTAACCTGACAACTGGTATGTGTATATAGTTTTTTTATTTTAAAAAAGCAGTCTGAGATCTATATTCATTCTAGCCATCTTGTCCCATAAGAGTTCTCTTAGGATTGAATCAAACGCTGCCTTAAGGTCTAAAAAGGCAGCAAAAAGCTTGTTGCCTGGTTTCCCACGGTATTTGGCAACAAGGTGTGATAGTACAAGGTGTGATAGTACAATGGTGTAGTGGTTAAGTGTGCGGACTCTAATCTGGGAGAACCGGGTTTGATTCCCCACTCCTCCACTTGCACCTGCTGATGTGACCTTGGGTCAGTCACAAGCTCTGGCACAGCTGTCCTTGAAAAAGAGCAGTTTGTGTCAGAGCTCTCTCAGCCCCACCGACCTCACAGGGTGTCTGTTGTGGGGAGGGGAAGGGAGAGGAGTTTGTAAGCCGCTCTGAGACTCCAAGTGAAGGGCGGGGTATAAATCCAATCTCCTCTTCTTCTTCTTCTACTGCACAGTGGTCCAGAATGGATTTTCCCCGACAAAACCCTACTTGTTCTGGTCCTAGAATGTTATGGTCGGTCATCCATCCACCTAGTGGATGGTGTTTGGCATAAAGTTTGCCAAAGTTAGAAGGTGTTTGGCATAAAGTTTGCCAACTACTGGTAACAGGCTGATCGGTCTATAATTTTCAGGAGAGGAAAGATCACCCTTCTTAAAAATAGGGACAATGATTGCGTTTGTCCGTGACTTTGGCATTATCCCAGTGTTATTTATTAAGGAAAATAAAGCAGCCAAAGGAGGCGCCCACCATTCTGGGTGAGACTTCAGTAGTTCTGGGGAGACTGCATCAGGACAACCAACAACCAACAGTACAGCACACAGCAAGAAATACCAAATCACTGCCACAGGAAGTGGCGGCGGCTACAAGCATGGACGGCTTCAAAAGGGAATTAGATAAGCATATGGAGCAGAGGTCCATCAGTGGCTATTAGCCACAAGGTTAGGGACTCTGGGGCAAGGGATGCTCTGTCTTCTTGGTGCTTGGGGGGGAAGTGAAATGCACATGTAATCAAGAATGAATCTATACATATAATCCATCATAGGAAAATACAGAAGCCCACAGGATCCACGAAAGGGAAATACAAAGTCCAGAGTAGATTTCAACACTTTTCCTAGGTAGTATGCAGTGTTTCAGACTTCTGGTGTGTTTGGTCCTGTTACATAGAAGCAGCACTAAAGCTTAGGAGACCTGGCCCATAAGGAAACTGAATAGTAGTCCTGTAAAGAAATTGGAATGAGACTTCAGAGACCTGGCCCATAAGGAAACTGAATAGTATTGTCCGATAAGGAAACGGAATGAGACTTCCTATAGTTGTTCTTTGTTCCTGAGGAAGGACCGGAAGGACACTGCATACTACCTAGGAAAAGTGTTGGATATCTACTCTGGACTTTGTATTTTCCTTTCATGGATCCTGTGGGCTTCTGTATTTTCCTATGATGGATTATATGTACAGATTCAGTCTTCATTACATGTGCATTTCACTTTGTTGAAGTCTCCTTTTGGATATATATTTTTACGGGTAATTCAGCTCACCGTTGTTTTCTGTTGAGACTGCATCGGGGCCAGGGGCTTTTTTTTGGTTTGAGATAAGTGATCAGGGTAATAATATCCTCAGGGGACACAGGTGGGCCACTCGGGGGTCTCGGGGGAATCACATTCTGTGGGTTTGGGAAAACTTGCACCATTTTCATTAAAAAGGTTTAAGAGATATGAAAACCAGGTACGGGAGGGAATTGATGGTTCAATAGTTCCCACTGGTCCCCGGCAAACTGGAGCTTCTTCTTCTTTCTTTTTTTAATAATTTTATTACTTTTTCAAAAGCCATGAACAATAAAGCTTGAGACAGTCATACAAATCACTATGGTCAAGCAAAGAATGAAATCAGTATAACGCAAACTGGAGCTTCTTGGCTTTGACTCAGTCTGGCAGCTGTTGTTGAACAGTGAAGTATGCCTTCGGTAAGGAAGACTTTTTTGGGGCTCCGATAATGGTGATAAATGGAACGGAGAGTGGACTTCAGACACAAACGTTCTCTGCTGTACCATGCGTTCTACTTGGGTTTGTGTCTGGAGGGCAAAATGGGAGCAGGGTTAAGTAGACTGCACAGAGTATAGACCCAGATCTAAGAAACCTCCAAACACGTTCTGAGTGTGCAGATTCTGGGGGGTAAGGCCCCGCCACAAACACGGAACACTCTCGCCCCAGGCTCCTGGACTCGGAGCAGGAGGGGACTGCAAAATTTGAAATTGCTTACGAGATGGTACATGACCCCAAGACAACTTAATAAAATTAACAAATCCAACGACACCACGTGCTGGAAGAAATGCGGGCAGACAGGCTCTTACATCCACTGCTGGTGGAGCTGCCCAATAATCAACCAATTCTGGAATGAGATAACTCTGCGCATACAGGAAACGACCAGCCAAAGAATCTCCTTCTTGCCGGAAACGATATATAAGTGGGATGACTCCACGAAGGAAGACAAGAGAAATCTTACGTCGCTACTATTAGCAACGGCTAAATTAACAATAGCCGCTCTGTGGAAATCTCCCAATCCTCCTACGATATCTCTGTGGCATGATAAGCTCTGGGAACAGTTCGTCATGGCTAAAATCACCAACTTAAATCGAGAGGCCCAGGCTTCAAATACCACATTACACACGAAATTTAGAAGGCTCTGGTCACCGGTAGTGAATTATATGATGAAACATGAGATATTACCCACAAACCATAATTATCACAGGTGGTTATTCTTATAACGCTCTGGATACCTGCACTGTCTGTATAGAGGAGTAAGTACTTATCCACGGTACGGTCTTCAGCACTAACAGAGAGTGCAAAAGTGAAGAGAAGCCACAGGAGGAAATAAGTAAAATATAGCTAACTAAGTTTATCAAGGTTTTGAATTAGGATTCTTTTGGTCCATAGACAATTCGGTACGCACAATGGTTATAACTTTTACATCTCTGTAAGATATATTGAGGAGCTGCGGTGGCTCAAGTGGTTAAGACACTGAACTGCAGGCTGTGGAAGGTCTGTAGTTCAGCAGTTCGAGACCCAAGTGTACCGCATGACGGAGTGAGCTCCCGTCTCTAGCTCCAGCTCCTGCCAACCTAACCGTTCGAAAGCAAGAAATTGCAAGTAGATAAACAGGTACCGCTTCGGTGGGAAGGTAACAGCGTTCCGTGCGCCTTGGTGTTTAGTCATGCCGGCCACATGACCACGGAAACGTCTTCGGGCAGCGCTGGCTCTTCGGCTTGGAAACGGAGATGAGCACCGCAACCCTAGAGTCGGATTCGACTGGCTTTCGAGCAAGGGAACCTTTACCTTTACCTTTAAGATATATTGTAATTTTTATGTTTGAGTTTACCTCTCCTTCTGCATTCAATTGTACTGTTAAGTAAAAGAATAAAAATACATTTTAAAAAAAGGGAAAAAAAGAAGAAGGGACCTTCCAGGCTAGAGAATACATTCTCCTTTGGTCATTCCCCTGCCGACAGCATTTTGCTCTGAAACGAATTGGCTATTGCGCATGTTCCAGGTCAACCAAGAGGTGAGCCTGCCCTGCAGCTGTGTCTTTGCCTTCGGCTTCTGCACAGGTCTTGCCCCAAGACAGATGCCGCGGTGCAAGCCGAGAGGATAAGTTCGCCATATCTAATGCAAAGCAAAACTCTACAGAAAACAGTCTCTGAGCAGGTGGAACTGAGGTTTATTTGAAGTAGGTTTATTTGAAGTCGCGCCGAAGTTTTGGTTAGCCGGGCAAGTGGGGAAAATAGGCCGCGGGACGCCAAGGTGATCTACCTGCCCTGTGATTTATCAGGAGACCCTAGTTAGAAAAGCCCACAGCGTGAACAGAAGACACGCCTGCTGATACGGAAGCGGACAATGCACAGGAGAACAGCATTTTTCTCTGGAGTTCAAAGTGTCAGGATCATAGCAGAAAAAGTGTATGAGACAGAGAATGATCTGCTAAACACTTGCCGGCACAAAGCACACATTAGACTCTGAAGATGCTATCAAAAGGACAAGAGGGCCTAGAGCGATGCGGAGTCTGGACTGGAACTACTCACCTGCCTGCACAGCCTTGTTTAACATCCGCGCGGTCCGCTTGTGACTGAGAGCAGAGCTCGGTCCTCGGGAACTTCCAGGGGTAGAAACAGAGTCCGAGGAACTGACGGGGTACATTGCCTAGGACAGAGGAAGGGGCACATTTAGGAGAGCCTCCAAGGTTTGGGGGGCAATTTGTCACCATCTGGGGACGACTCTTCTCTCTCCTCTCTCTCCACACACATGCTGAAAAACCACTCTTCTCTTACTGAGTGACATGCCTACCCAGCATTCTATAGGAGACATTCTGTGCGGTCCCACTGGACAGAGATGCCTAGATTTGAATCCAGATCAAATCCACTTGCAGGTACAAACTCACTGGGAATGACTGAAAGTCACTCTCTCTCACCTTCTGTTCCCAGATCTGCAGATATCAAGTAATCTTATTGCCCCCTCCTCATCCAGTTAAAAAGACCAAATAAAAGAACCAGGCAGTAGGTGAAGAGAAAGAAGAAGAGGAGGAGGAGGAGGAGGAGGAGATTGGATTTATATCCTGCCCTTCACTTGGAGCGCCTTACAATCTCCTTTCCCTTGCCCTCCCCACAACAGACACCCTGGGAGGTCGGTGGGGCTGAGAGAGCTCTGAGAGAACTGCTCCTGAGAGAACAGCTCGGACAGAACTTGTGACTGGCCCAAGGTCACTCCAGCAGCTGCATGCGGAGGAGGAGAGGGGAATCAAGCCCAGTTCTCCGAGATTAGACTCCACGCTCCTAACCACCGCACCAGAATGACTCTATACCAAACCTCTGCCTGAGACTTTGGGGGGCTGGTGCCAGTCTACTTAAGCAAGACTGGCCGTTATGGACCAAGGGTCTGATTCAGTATCAGGCACCTTCATGGGTGCGTTCGTCTTTTGACCGGCACCTCGTTTGTTCAGTGACTCCAGCCAGAACAACCTGCCTCTCAACCTAGGGCACGGTGGCCACTTGAGCCACAGGGCATGTGGAATCTGGGCAGAGAAGCTCACTTATGTAGATGCAGCCACTTTCACCAAAACCAAGGCAACCCGTTTCTTTCGTCTGCAGTACTGGAAGGGAGGTTTAAAAGGACCCCTGACTCACTAAGGTTCTGCTCCTGCCCCCTCCATGAAACAGACTCTCTGGAACACAGATTCTTTAACTGCGTATACCATAGGGTGATCCGCATGGAGACTACTTGTCCGTTGTTAGAAAGGTTTCCTGGCAGATCAAATAAAATTAAACTCGACACAGAGACCTTGACACAGAAAGTATTCCATCTTTCTGTGTCTATACCTCTGAGGATGCCAGTCACAGTTACTGGCGAAACGTCAGGTCCTACAATGCCAAGACCACGGCCACACATCCCGGAAAATCTACAGCAACGAATGAACTCCGGCTGTGAAAGCCTTCGACAACATATTAAACTCGACTACCTCCCGTCTGGCAGGAACCATCAGATAACAAGACAGGTGGCTAGATTTTGTGCCCAGGTTTGCAAGGAAAGTAAAATGCACGACAATTAGATTACGTTCTAGTCTTTTATCTAGATTTTATACGCATTTTATGGCTGTTTTAGTCTATTCCCAGATTTTTAAATTTGAGAATGCCACTGTTGGTTTTACCCCGTATTTCTTATTCGAATGTTTTTATGAAAAAGGATTGAGCGTGCTGGTCGTTGACCGGTTTGAACCAGTTTTCTTTTCTTTTTTTTGGCAGCCCGTGGTGAAAGAACATAAGAGAAGCCCATGTTGGATCAGGCCAATGGCCCATCTAGTCCAATACTCTGTCACCCAGTGGCCAGAAATACCAGGTGCCCACAGGAGGTCCAGCAGTGGGCCAAGACACCAGAAGCCCTCCCATTGTTCCCCCCCCCCAAGCACCAAGAATACAGAGCATCACCCGCCCCAGCCTGTGAGTTCCTATCTATACCTTGTGGCTAATAGCCACTGATGGACCTCTGCTCCGTGTGTTTATCAAGTTCAGGGAGAAAAGTCCTTCTTTCTCAACCTGCTCTATCCCATGCATGATCTTGTAAACCTCGATCACCCGGTAAGCTTCCACAGCAAAGTGGGGTTTCCAAACTGGGGCTCTTCTCAGGTAGCTCTGTCATAGGTCTGGAATGTGGAGGGGTACCCCCTCCCGTTTTCTGTCTCAGCTCTCCTGGCTCTCCTTTTTGATATTTTATGCTTGACCTTGTAGATGCTCCAGCTGCAGTTTTACTCGGCTGGGAAAGTTAACGGCTTTTGCTTTGCCTGCTGGCTTTTGCCTGCACGTGCGAGATGTATCCATTGGCTTAGGCTTACCTTAGGGGGGGATGTTTGATTCTCGTATAAGTCAGAGGCCCTTGTATAGGCGGCCATTCCTGACACAAGCTGTACACGTGCCTCTAGTACTGGATTTACCAATAAATGGTTATCGTCTTATGAAGCGCTGTGTTGAGTAACCTGACTAAGGACCCTGACAGCTCCCAGATTCTAGTCCAACACTAACCACCAGCTCTCAAACTTCAAAAATAAATCTACTTATTTCATGGCACCTTTAAATGGCCACCTCTTGGCTTTTCACTATGATGGATGACAGCTGCCGCCAGGCAGCCAAAGCCTTCACCTTTCTGCACAGAACAAGTACAGCTCAAATGAGGAATCCTTACATGAGTCCCTTACACCTGTCTTTTGTCTGAGACTCTTCTAAGTCAGCACTTCAGGTACCAGCTAGGTAGAATCATCCAACTGATGCCTAGTCGGCATTAAACGGAGGAGGGTCTTGCATGGATGCCTCTGCTTATGAAAGTTCGCTGACTCAGGTTTGGGTCCTGATCAGTGTTCCCTCTAAGCTGAGTTAGTGTGAACTAGCTCACAGGTTTTTTTTAGCATCCGGCTCACACATTTCTGTCTTAGCTCAGGAAGGGTGGCTCCAAAGCAAACTAATTTATGCAGCGGCCAAATCTCTCACTCACAGCTTTAATGCCGGTAGCTCACAAAGTAGAATTTTTGCTCACAGGACTCCACAGCTTGGAGGGAGCACTGGTCCTGATCCCTTATAACTTGGAGGTGCGTGCGACAACATTGACACGATCTTTCAAGCCCACCTCTGACCTGCAGCTTCAGCTCTTCAGGATCTGAAGCTCTGGGCGACTGATGATGTCCTGGAGGCATGACTTGTACCCAGTTACATGAACACATCAAGTGGCCTTAAACTGAATCAGACCCTCGGTTCATCAAGGTCTATTATCTCTTGCTCCGGATTTCAAGACCAGATCTAACGGGTGGAAATTACAAGGGAGTCGATGACGGGCTAAATGTCAGGAGAAATGTCCTAACTGTAAGAGTGGTTGAGCAGTAGAACGGACCGCCTCAGGAAGTGGTGGGTGCTCCTTCGCTGGACGTTTCCAAGCGGAGGCTGGACGACCATCTCTTGGGTATGTTGTAGTGCTCTCTTTCGGCTCTGCTCCTGCAGAGTGCAGGGGGTTGGACTAGATGACCTGCAAGGTCCCTTCCAACTCTAACATTCTATGATTCTAAGGTCGGCATTGGCTACTCAAGACTGGCAGCAGCTGTCCATGGTCTCGGGCTGAGGACTTGTCCATCAACTACTACCTGGTCCTTTTAACTGGAGATGCCAGGGATTGAACCTGGAACCTTCTGCAAGCCAAGCAGAGGCAAAGCCATGGCACCTACCCAGGGCATTTCGGTCCAGGTTGTTGGGAGCCCTATTTCAGACCATCAATCCACCAAGGTCAGCACCATCTACTCAGACTGCCAGCCGCTCTCCAGGATTTCAGGCAGAGAGGCCTTCCATGTCACCTACTGCTTGATGCCGGGGATTGAATGTGGGACCTTCTGCATGCCAAACAGATGCTCCACCACTGAGCCGCAGCCCTCCCTTAAAGCCCTTAAGAGCAACCTTGCAGTCCAGACGGCATCTCCCCGTTTTGTAGCTAGACATTCACTCTTTGACCTCAAAATTGTGGTGGAATTATTGCAAAGGGGATTTAGAGAGAGGCCGGTAGAAGAGCACGGAGGCTGACAGGTCATTAATTCCAGAAGAGCTGCAGGAATCTTGTTGTTTTTGCAGAAACAGAGGAAGGGCCCTGCAGCATCTTAAAGGGTCACACTCTTCTCGGGAAATGAGTTTTATGTAGCGAAAGCCTTTCTCCAATGGAGTCGGCTCTTGAGACAATATATTTTCCAGTCTTTAAAGGTGCCAAAGGACTCCTGTTCTTGACAGACAAGAATGCTTCTTTTTTATCCTATAAAATAATTTACCAGCAAGTTCAGCATGTGAACTGAAACAGAAGAAGGAGGAGGAGATTGGATT